ATTCTTGATCTTGTTCGAATTTATGAAGCCCAAAAATTAATTTTCGGCCCATTGGGCTCTTAAGGAGGCTCACGGCCCAAAATGGTAAAATAAATGGGTTTAGGGCCCATTAGGGGTAATTAAATCCCTTTATGGCCCATCATGACCCAAAGTAGTCAAGTTGAAGGTTTATTGGTCCATTAGGCCCAATAAGTGAATTTTAGTTTATAAGAAACTTGAACCGGGATTTCTAAGGTTTCCAACCCTTAGTTGAACATATGCGATGTATTTGAACGAGGATAGAATATAGTATTCACTTAGATTACAAGCCTTACAACAGATGATGGTTTCATGAGAATAGAATTTTCTAGCAAAATGCCAGTTGTGACAAAAGTCTCCATTTCAGCTTCAATAAAAGAGCTCGATTATCAGCTAACAAACCACCGATCTCCAATCCACTCACTTTTTTAGAGGCCGTGATTTTCTTCTACTAAAACCCACAAAATCTCACAATCTCTAATATCATCATCCCAATTTTGTTTTGCACATAGCAAAACCATGAGATTTACGCCTTGTTCCCGAGTTCCATTTATGGAGAGAAATGGAGGGATATGGAGAGAAAGTGAGGGATGTCGAAGGAAACCCGTGTTCCCGAGTTTAATTGACGGAAGGAAAGTGAGGGGAAAGAGAGGAAAATTGAGGCATATTTTCCTTCCAAATTAGATGGAAACAGGAAGAAATTTGGAACATATCTTGCATTCTTCTTATTATGGACCATTATACTCTCAACCCTATTTAATAAATCACGTAGTCGCATATTGTTTTCTTCATACGTCTATCGTTTTCTTCATCTTCCTTTTCAATTGCATATTGGTTTCAGTGGTTTGCCCATCGTCTTGCTCAAGTCAATTCTCTCCACACCCTCTAATCAGGTATTTTTTTTCTTCTTCATATTATGTATGAAACCACGACTATTGCTGCCATGTGACTTCAATGTGTGTGTGTGTTTTTACTTTTTTTCTGTTTAGAAACATGACTTCACTGTTTGATCTTTAATTATAACATGACTATTGCTACCATGTGACTATTGCTGTCACGACTATTTAATTGATGGACATATTATTCAATTGCATTATTAAGAATTATAACATAAATCACAAAATCCACACCACTTGTTGTTTATCTTAGACGAGTTAGTGGTGACAAATAACAAGAATCTTGTTTTCCTGTTGTACACAAGGACAATCTATGAATACACTTGCTTTCTTGCATTTTTTTTTATTTTGTCCAGTTTTGTTATAAACTAGTTGTTGAAGAAACTTAGGAATAAAACAAAACATATATTTGATTCTCTAATACTTGCTTGTGTGCATGCATGGATTTTTTTTTTTTATTTTGCCAAGTTTTGTTATAAATTAGTTACTAAAGAAACTTAGGAATAGAAACAAAACATATATCTATGAAAACAATTTTTTTTATTTTTCCCTGTTTTGTTATATTGAATTTAGTTCAACTTCTTCAATTATTTGTTATATGTTATAACCTTAGACTGTTTAAGTGTATCTTTTGACAGCTGTATTTAAATCCAAAAATTTGTTTCTTTTTCTATTTGACAGCTAAAGTTTTTGATTTTTTTTCAACCCGGTTTACACAATTCGGTTCCTAATATATTATAGCATTTTTTTATTAAGGCAATTTACATTGGAAATATACCCAATTATAGTATTAGGAAAGTGACATGGCCAGCCAAGATGACGATGGGGAAACAAGACGAAGGTTAGTGGTTACTATGATGTTCATGGCCATTATAATACATCGTAGACTTTCGAAAAAAAGTAATCATAGTATACTAAGTAAGGAAGAAATGTTAAAGCGTCAACTTGAACGGGAATGACTATTACACAAACTTGTAAAAGATGGGAAATATCGTGAACTTATTCGTGTGAGTGAGCATGCTTTTAGAAAGTTGTGTACTATTTTACGATGTGATGGTGGACTGCGACCTATGCAACGAATGTCTATTGTAGACATGTTGCAAGGTTTCTGCACATCGTAGGAAACGATATAAGAAACACAATGCTCTCTTTCATGCATGGGTACGCTAAATCTACAACAAGTATGTGCTTCCATAGAGTTCTTCGCACAATTATAGCATTAGAAAGTTACTACATTTAACAACCTAAAAGTGATGTTGTCCCAAAAGAAATTCAAGAGAAAAAAAGATTTTATCCCTATTTCAAGAATTGTATAGGGGCAATTGACATGACACATGTTCGTGTAAAAGTACCTAATAGAGATGCCCCTAGATATTGTGTCGCACGGGTTACCCTACCATAAATGTTTTGGCCGCATGTTCATTTGATTTGAACTTTACTTACGTTTTATTTGGGTGGGAGGGCACTGCCTCAGACTCAAGGATAGTGAAAGATGCACTTAAAAGAGACGATAAGCTACTAATTCCTAGGGGTAATTTTTGTTAACTACTTTAATTTTATGTACATTCTTTTATTAGAAAACTAATTACATGTTATTTATAGGTCGATATTGTTTGGTAGATGGTGGTTTGCCTCATACCAGTGAGCTAATGACACTATATAGAAGTGTCAGGTATCATTTGAAAGAGTATTCTGCTCACCCCTCAGTGAATGTAAGAGAGTTGTTCAATCTTCGACATGCTTCTTTACGTAACGCAATAGAACGTGCATTTGGTGTTCTAAAAAGAAGTTTCCCAATCGTTAGAAGTACACAAGAACCTTTTTACTCGTGTGACACACAATCAGACATTTTTGTGGCATGTTGTATCTTACACAATTTTTTACTAGACAAAGATCGTGACAAAAAACTTGAATATGAAGTCTTACAAAAGGTGTTGGATGAACAACCACAACAAGTGAGACATGATGTTAATAACGGATGTTTGCGTAGTGATGGGGCTGAGGAATTGAGGAACGCTATTACAACTCAAATGTGGAATGATTACTTGTTGAAACCAAACAATGAAATAAATATGTCAACTTAGTTTTATAATAGATCAATAATTTGTCGGTTTTAGTTCATTCTGTTATTTTAGTTTATTTTTGTTATGATATTTGCAATTTAATTTTTATGGTGATATTTATATTATGAACCCTCTTTTTTATATATATTTGTCTAATTTTTTGTTTAACAATGTATGGTTCATTTTACTTTCTTTGTATGTACAGAGCAATTATGATCAAAAGGGCAGCTGATGGAAGTGTAGTGAAAAAAGAAAATTTGATATGAACAGATCATATGAATAATGTTCTCGTTGAAGCTCAGGTAAAGGAAGATCGACTAGGTAATCAGGTGCATGGTACATTCACTTCACAAGCATATGCAAACATAATTGCAGAGATGAGTAAAGAGTTTAACAGATCTATTACAAAAGATCAAATAAAAAAACCGAATGAAAACTTTAAAAGGTAATTTTAATAAATGGTATGACATGTATCAGGGTACTTCGTTGAGTGGGTTCTCCTAGAATTCTCAAACAACATACATCGAAGCAGAGGAGGAAGTATGGGAAAATTAATTATTGTACGTGTTGGTTTTACATTTGATTTATTGTTATATTTTTTGCACCACTAACTTTACTAATTAATTTTTGTGTTTGTTTATAAACAGGCAACCCCTAACGCAGTTGCATTCAGGACCAAATTTTTTTCAAACTATGATCAGTTGGTGATGTTATTTTCAAATGATAGAGCATCGAGATCAAAAGCGGAAACAACAAAAGAAAAATATGCCCGGTTAAGAAAATCCATAGAAATTAAAATAGAAAAAGTTGATAATGTGGATAAGCTAATAGCAAATAATGAGGTAATTTTGGATAAAGAATACAAAGATGATGATGAGAACATTCAAATAGTATCAGCAATGGATGTTTCACCCGGTGATAGTTCAAAGGCTAAGAAGCTAAAAAGTTTAAAAAAAAATAGAAAGAAAACTTCAAGATTAAAATGAAGTAGTAGCTGAACCTGAACTTGAACTTCAACCTCAACATTAACCTCAAGCACAACCAGAAACTTTTGAACACACTATTGCGCAAACATTTAAAGAAATCGTTGATGTTATGAGAGAAATGAATAAATCACGTGACTATATTGGTGAAGAAATCGAGAAAGAATTGGAGTTGATGGAGTTGGATGTTGATGAATTTGCAGATGTTTCCATATATTTGTCGCTAAATCAAGCCGATGCTAGGACAATTTTAGTTCTTCAATGAAGATGACGAAGATATTTCTAAGAAAGATGATGGATGGAGCTAAAAATTGAGTCATATCTTGAAGTTTTATGGTTTTTATAGTAGTTTGCATTGAACTTCATTTATAAAGTTGGAATTTTGATTTTCTAGTTTTTCTTTGTTGACTTGAGTTTATTTCATTAGTTTGGTTGTTTGATTAAAAAGTTTTTGATTGATTTTGATTCCCACTTTAGTTGATTCATATTGCTTATATGTTATAAACATAATGTGTAAATAGGGGTATAATTGTAATCTTATTAATTTTCTTTTCTTTTCCCTCCTAACTCAGGAACACATAAACTTATAATTTTCCTTTCATTTCCTTCGAACTCGGGAACGGAATAAATAAATTTTCCTTTCCCTCACTTTTCTTCTATCAATATTTTCATTCCCTTTCTTGTAATGAATTAAAAAAAACTCGGGAACAAGATGTTAGAGTGGTAATAGGTACTTTAATCAGGAAAATGAAATATCATCCCACCCTTTCAAGCACCACCTAAATGCCCCCATAGATAAAGCTTTCACTTTCTAATTAAAATTATTTGAGAAAACTTATCTATAATACAATTCTATCGGCCAATACATGTCATATTACCACCAATCGGAAGGCCTATATAAGTGCTGAGAATTTTTGCAACTTGACACCTCATTGAATGTCACTCCAACACTCAATATACTAAAATTTTGATTAAACATTTTGAGCATAGCAGAACAACCTCAATTTTGAGCAAAACAAACCGTTCATCGATCATCCGTTCTCGTTTCAACATCATTACTTTTAAAAAATAGATCTAATTCTTACATTCAACAAAAAATTATCAACAAGCCAGTGGGACAAGGTAAATATTCTATCATAGCCCACATACTTTTGATATATTGAATTATCAAATCAAGAAATGCTTCACTCCAACATAACAAGATTAATTTAGAATGAATTCCAAGTCGTTAAATCAGCCAAAACGACCCAATTAGATAGAGCTTCATTCATTTTCACCTCTAGATTCACTTTCATCTTAAGGTATTGCTTCTATCCTGTCACTGCCACTCTTGTTCCCTTCACTACGAGATGTCATTGCTCCCAAAGAAGCATTCACATAAGTCTTATGACCTTCTTAAGCCTATGGCTGTCTATGTGGCATGGCATTAGAATGATTTCCTCCCATAGTACTGATTTGTCTCACATGTTCTTTTGTATCCTGAATATGATTATTCTTAACAAATCTTACAAATGGTGCATACATGTGTGGCTATTGATCCATAAAGAAGAAATATTACATGCAAGAATACCAACATTTGTATAAATTGTGTAAAACCAAAGTCCTACTAAACCTTTTTAACCTTTTGAACATATAAACACCCACCGCGTTCCCATATTCATTGATGAATTACCATTGATCATGAACTCCACATGTCAAATGGAAACTTGTAACATACATTGTTGTCGAATTTTTGATATCAAGTACCAAGTCTTAAACATATAACCAAGCTTCACTCTTTCCGATCTCTTTGTAGATTGACCTTAAACCATTTACACTCGGATCCAAAGCAATAATAACCTAGACGATTCCGAAAAAGCCAATAACAAAGAACACCTTTGTTTGCAACACATCGCAGAAGATCTTTTATCCAATTCACATCACGTGCTATAAAATTATAGCATTTCTCTATTACTAAAACTAATTAGCTACCTATTAAAATAATTACAAAGAAAGTTATGACATATACTAGTACATAACTAATTAACTAGTTAGCTTTAAGCTAAAATCAATATTTTACAACCAACCACAACATTGGTTGAATCTATGACCAACCATACCAATAGTCGAGAATGTATACAAGAACAAGGGAGAACGGGTAAAGAACAAACGCAATGAAACATGTCCAAAGAGGAAATGTCGTACGCAAACTACCAAACACACCCATCACAATGCAAACGATCACAATAACAAGAACTTCTGATGTAAAATCCCATGTTAGTCCTCGCACGTAAACAAGTCCCAAGAATACCGATAGGCAAAGCAAATTGTTCATTGTAGCAGACCCATATAACTGTGCCAAAAACATAAATTCAAAAGTCAACACGTAAATAGTCTCACGAATCTCTTTTACAAAACTTTTGTGTAGTTTGCTATCGCGTGTGTGAGATTAAGAATCTTTAAGACAACAAGAATCAAAGAAGCAAACGAACCTCTGAAAAAGTTAGCGAAGCAGATCTTTGCTTTTTGCGGGAAGCAAAGATGATAGCGGACACTGATTCACTCGAATTGGTTGCTATTGGCAACACAATGAACGAGATAAAAAAAGACGGAATATTCGTAGCAGAAGAAAACCCCCCAACAGCATCCACCAATGGATCAGCAAATAAAGCAGCAACAATCGTACCCAATAACAAAAATAGCAACGCCTTTATCGTTGTCCATTGAGGATCCTTTACACCATTCTCTTCATCATGATCACCCCCTTCATCTCCCAAAAGATAGTGTTCTCTCTTTGTTTCCTGTATTCAAATAAGAAACACCCACACATAATTAAGTCCATTAAAGTAACATCAGTATAATAATAATAATAATAATAATATTGATATTACGTACCTCGTAATAGTCATGAAAGTAATTTGTTGTGTCAGGACCTGAAACATGAGAAGCTAGTATTGTACTTTTGGCTTCGTCGATCCATTTTGTGATTCCGGATACAAATTCTTCAAAATCTATTTCATCATTTCCAGATGTGTCAAATTCTTTCATGACTTTAAGAACAGCATCATCTTCGTTTAAATTTATGTCGTTTAATTGCATTCCTACAACTAGTGCTCTTAGTTCAGCTTGTGAAAGGTGTTTATCTCCATTCACGTCAACCGAGTTAAACAGCCTGCGATAAGAGTTATTTAATTAATTAGAAGCGACATTAACATAAAAATAATTTTAATAATAATTGTAACAGAACTCACCTGAATAAAACTTCTCGATTTGGGTGGCCTTTATCATCTAAAAGTCCTTCGTATGCGTTTGTTTTCAAGTAGTTGAGAATTCTAGACCTTACATGCTTATGCTTTGCAAATGCAATGCGTCTCTTCTGTATATTAGGCTGATACACCTGGAGAAAAATGGATCAGAAATTGGAATGAGTTATTACATTCACTAATTGTTAAATGAAACTTAGGTTATTTTCTGTGATTAATTAATTATCCATTGATATAAACCTGATAAACGCAGTACGCGATTAAAAGACAAATGGTGACTATAAGTCCAATTAACACTGCCACGTGTCTTCCAGAAGTCGAATGCATGATTTGTGGGAATTGAACAACAATAAAAGGGAGCAAAGATACAGCCATTATCATTGCTGAATAGCTTGTCCAAATATCCGTACTCACACCAGACCCTGCGATATAATGGAACAGATAATTTTAATTTCTTGGATATATAATTAATTTTTGTAATAATAATTAACGCATCTAGAATCAGATAATATTTTTTAATGTACCTATTAAGTTGAATCCTTTTGTATCTTGGTTATCTATAGCAATTGAGTTTTGTAAATCGCATTTGCCTACGATGATACATGTTCCCCATATGACAGTTAAAAGCATGACAGTTGATCCAGCTAATAATCCCATGCCAACAGAGACTTGCTCTTGAGCTGTTTCTGGGCTTCCAGATAATCCTGACACTATATATAAAAAAAAGTAGATCATATATACAAAATATGAAAATATTAGAATTATAACATGTACAAATAAAAATGAACAAGGAAACAGAAAATAATGAGTAAACAATACACAATAAAGAGAAACACATGAAAACTGAGATACGATTTAGATAAAGAAAGGGAAAATAATCGTGAATAAAGTCTAACAAGATAAAGTTTTGACAAGTCAGCTGTACAGGTCATAAAATGCATATAAAAAATGCCACTTGTTCAAAACTGTTGAATATTCGCATTCAATAATTAATGCGTTAGTTAGATCAACCGAATATCACGACTTAAATGAATGACCCCTGAAGAAAAAGAGAGGGAAACTTGTTACTTGTAAGATACTTTTTTTGTGATTTTTATTTTGAAAGAATTGTGGAATGAAGGGCGTATATGTAAAATCGATAGCTTTTATTCGTTTCTTTGCGTGTCATCACAAGAAAAGAATCGTTATCCTTTCCTTTTTCTTGTTTATCTACCCTTTACTTTTTTTTTACTTCTTTTCTATGGAAACTTCCCACGAAGCAGCAAGAACAGTTAATTAGTTAAACTCAATTGTCAACATCAATTTCTTCTCTGAATCTTCGATATAACACAATCCCAAGATAACGATGATTTAACTTTATAAAACGTCAGATTATTCGAATAGTTAACGAGTAAAATTTGTTCACACTAATCAACTCCACTGCAATTTTGTAAATCGAGAAGGAAACAAATATTATGCGAATAGGGTTTGTGATTTTGTACCGAGAATGAGCATAGCGTCTGGAAGAGCGCCGAGAACAGGAAGGAAAAGGCCGCCGACGATACCCGGACCTAAAATCTCCAACATCAACTCACTACCAGCGGAGAGGTAAGTAGCGGCGATGAACATAAGGTAACCGTATACCAGAATGAGGAAGAGATTGCCAAATACGGTGGTGGTGCAAGGCAAAAATCCATAAGACTGCTCGCAGATTCCAGATTCTTCGGTTGAAGATGATGAGAATAGGAAGGGGTTAAGACGAAGTACACCTCCGTAGCCACCGTGAACACCGTCATTTACGATATCAGAGGAGGAATTGGTGGTGGTGATGAGACGACCGGCGGTTGCGGCAGTGAAAGTACTGAAGATAGCGACTATTATAAGAATATTGTGAGCCATATTCTTATTTGGTGTGACTGTGTGCGTGTGTGTGTTTTCGCTATTTGTACTGAAGCTTTGATGCAGGGTTTAACGTGTGGGGAGCGCGTATAAGATAAAATTAATTTTGGGAAGACGATTCAAAAATCTTCCTTTTTAATAACATATGATATGATATGACCCATCAACTTGCCTCTTCTTTAATAAACATTTATCATTTATGGTCATATAAAAAGACGTTATGTAGTATATTTTCTAATCGATCGGTAATATAAAACAATATTTACTTCGTACATGTTTAAGGCTTGAAGCTTGATATATAAAGACTCAAACGTATTATATTTTTTAGAGAAAAGAAATATTCTCTACTTTTTTTATTTTAGTTATATAAAATAATGATATGTGCATTCCACCATTTTTCTTTTTTTAATCTCTTATTTTGATTTTAAGACTTAGCTTTGTTATAGTAAATAGTAACAAAATATATAAGGATATTTCATTTCTCACAATATTATGTTATCTTTTATCTTCAATAAAATCATTATTTTTCTGATTTTGTTTAAACCAATGTTTTGCAAGCGGATAATTAAGAAACCCGGATGCGGAGCCCTCGTAAAATTTAATTAAATAAAATAAAAAAAAACAGTGATATTATTGATTTAAATTATAATACTTTGCATCCATAATATGTATAAGCATTTGGATAATTATAGGATCATGTGTAAGATACTTTTCAAAATATGTTATTTCAACCTATTGTCGTTTATATCAAAAAACCATATTTTCGATAATCCAAGAACAACAAAATCTTGATCTCATGCCTAATTAAAGATCCTAATACGAAAATATCTTATTTTGTTGGATGCTTTTCACAACATAAATTTGGCAGAGTAATAATATGTTTTCATGTGTCTCTCGGTACAACCTAACATCCTTAACATTTGTAATGCGCTTATTTTAGAAAGAAATAACACAACTTTCCAATGGTTCTTTTAAGCCGGACGGAGTGGGGGTGAGTGAACCGATCCTGCACACGTGCATACCGAACCGTGGGTGCGGGAAAGGAACCGCGGGAAGCAAGTGAGGGGAGAGAGTCCCGCTCTCTCCCTCTTCCAACCTTTGGCCACTGCATTTTTTTTCTTTCTTATACTCAAACGGCTATATAGCCGTTAACACACACACACACACACACACACACATATATATATATATATATATATATATATATATATATATATATATATATATATATATATATATATATATATATATATATAGGGAGAGGATCAAATAAGAACACCTAAAAAGTTGAGAACGCGAGAACAGTTCTGGACCAATCATTTTATAAAATGTATATTAGTAACTTTATATAAATATTAATTATTGATTTCCTAAAATCTAGGGATAATGATTTTAATTACCTAACTATATTAATATTTCCTTTTAGTTAATAATATATATATATATATATATATATATATATATATATATATATATATATATATATATATATATATATGATTTTTCCAAAAAATTATTTATGACCGTTTCAAAAAAATCATCTAAAAAAATTAATATTTCCTTTTAATTTAAATTTGAAAGGAAAATATTAAAAATATATATATTATTTTCTACTATTTCACGTTTTTGTTTTTCAAAAAAAAAAAAAAGAATAGAAATCCAATCGCAAATCAGTACACTTTCAATCATAAATGAAAACACATCAAATTACAAATAATTCAATCCATTTTTCATAAATTGAAAAAAAAAAATGTAAAATTTATCATTTTTTTTTCATAAAATGAATACCTCTAATCATAAATAAATATACTCATTCACATGAATACACTAATATTCATAAATAAATACAATCATTCACACATGAATACATTGCAATTCACAAATGAATACACTATTATTTATAAATTAATACACATTTTATCATAAATGAATACACGTGCTATTAATAAATGAATACAACTATTCACACATAACTACAATGTTATTCATAAATGAATACACGTGCTATTCATAAATAAATACAACCATTCACGCGCCCCCTTCAAGAAATTATTACCAAAAAATTCGAAAATTAGGATTGTGTGTCTTTCCATTGGTGCACCTCGTTGTCGCTTTTTGGTTTGCAAAATCTCTCCCATAAGGTGGGAAATTGCCCCCAAAAGGGGTTAGAATGTAGTTGTTGTTTCCAGGATCAGAAGTGGAGTCTCCGAACACCAAAATAGCAGAAACCTTGTGGTTTTGAGTAGACGTTTTCACGATAAGATCTTGTGGTTCATAAAACTTAATTCCAAAGCTAGATTCATGTATGAATAGAAAGAAACACGAGTAAAGAAATGTAGTTGATTAAACTTCATTGATTTATAGTCAAAATAAAAATAAAATAGAAGATAATCATTACCGATCGAAGCAACTACCCCATCGAGACCCCTTCCATCATTCCAGTCGAAAATGCTCTCACAAACATTTTATCGAGCACCTTATGTGCACAGTTCATCCCTTCTTCACGAACAAACCCTCTTGGCCCCATTGGTTCCCATTCATTCAACAAATTAAAGACCATTTCCAATTTCTAAACAAAAATGTACAATTGTTGAGAGCGATCCATGATTTTCGATTAAATACCAAATCTGGGTAGCCATGTGTTAAGATATTTGTATTTGGATAATAAAATTTCAAAGAGCATACCTGTGAACAATGCGTCCCTTTCCATCCACTAAATCTACCTGACTTTAGGTGAGAAAGAAATCGGAGGTTTATCTCGCTACTGTTGACTTTTAGTCAAAGTTACATTGTGAAAATATGCATCCCTAATAGCCTCGCTGATACAATGTTACCATGTGTTGTGAACGAGAAAACTCAGAAAGATGAGAAATCAGATGACTTACAAAGGTCCGATTAGGGCTGCGATAGATGGTGGAGCGAAGATGATGTTGCGATTAGGAAGAAATCGGAGGAACACAGATGATGGAGGCGGTTTATTGATTCACCTAGGAATAGAGAAAGAGAAAGAGATGAGGTAGGGGAAAATAATTTAAACGGCAATATGAGAGGTGATTGAGAAATTATAGGAACAAGTTAAAATTACAATTACCATTATAGCCTTGTGACTAGGGATGGCAACGGGGCGGGTTTGGGACGGTTTTTGGTAATCCCGCCCCCATCCCCGAATATGAAAATCGATCCCATCACCGGCTCAATTCCCAACGGGTATTCGTTTACCAAACACTATCGGGTCTACGGGTATCCCAACGGGGTAACGGGGATCCCCGTTTAACATTCAAATTAAAAATACTTTTGATGAAATGAGAATACAAACCATTAGACTTAGTGATGCAAACATAAATTCATATCCAAAATAATTTTGATAATTTACAAAACTACTAAGAGCATACATATTTGTTCTGATACATAAGTGGTTACTAGTGGCAACAAAAACAATAAATACACTAGCATTCATAAACCATAATATCACTATTAGTCTAAGTAATATGAATAAAAAAAATGTCAAAACACTAGCATTACAAATAAACACGAAGCTATCTCAAGAAATTATCTTTAAATCGTTCACAACAAAGAAGATAACTCAAAGAAATTAATATATATATATATATATATATATATATATATATATATATATATATATATAATCATATTAACGGTTTCAGGTAACGGGTTTCGGTTTTGGTTTTGGTTTCGGGCAATCGGGACGGGTATTTTGTTTACCGTCCCCGTAACCAAACCCAGGAAAATTTTCTATAAGCGTACCAAACCCGATCCCGACCCCAATTAACCGGCCCCAAACCCGACCTTAATATGTCGGTTTTCGGTTTTCACCATCGGGTTCGGTTTCTTTTGCCATCCCTACTTGTGACCTTTTACAAGTTACACTTAAATACCTATGGTTTTAGAATTTTCATAAATCCCCCTTTCAATAATAACCTTAGATTTAAGTATTTAAATGGTCCAGATCTGTTCTCGCGTTCTCAACCTTTTAGGTGTTCTCATTTGATCATACTCATATATATATATATATATATATATATATATATATCTTTTTTCCTTTCATTTTCTTAATTTATAAATGCTCACACATTTTATCATTTTTTAAACCATAATCTCTATTTCTCTATAAAAATATTACTCAAAATGTCATCATCTTCATCATCCGATTCGACGGCAGTAGAGGAGGCTAAGTTTATCGATTCCGTTATGGCGAAAACGGTTGCATACTATTAAAACCGAATTGGTGAAACATCATGTGCACGACCTAACCTAAGAAAGTCGCTGTTACGTAGAAATCACGAAGCCGGACACGATTGTCTTATAGAAGATTATTTTGCAGATGACGCCGTCTACGCTGTAAAGTTTCGACGTCGGTTCCGAATGATCAAGGAACTATTTTTACGTATTGTTGGCGATTTGGAATGCCGCTTTCCATATTTCCAATGGAAAATAGATGCAAGGGGAAAAAGGTTTCTCTCCCATTCAAAAATGCACGGCTTCAATTCGTCAGCTAGCATACGGCATGGGCGCAGACAAATGGGACGAGTATTTTAGAATGTCAGAGCGTACCGTGAGGGACTCTATGTACAAGTTCTGCAAAGCGATCTGTTTGGTTTACGGGAAACGATATTTGCGCAAACCAACTATCAACAATATCCACCTATTGTATACGTTGCATGAAGGCAAACATGGATTTCCTGGAATGCTAGGTAGTATCGATTGCATGCATTGGAGTTGGTCATTATGCCCCGACGCATGGCGTGGTCATTACATGAGAGGCGACCACAAAGAGCCAACGATTATTCTAAAGGCTATTGCATCACATGATCTTTGGATATGACATGCATTCTTTGGTCCAGCTGGTGCAAACAATGACATCAACGTGCTAGACCAGTCACCTGTATTCAACGATATCTACCTTGGAAAGTCACACGATGTACCTTTTCAAGCAAATGGGGTAGCATATAAGTGTGGATACTATCTTACTGACGGTCTATATCCTCCTTTGTCTGTTTTTGTGAAATCATTTACATGTCCTAACGACCCGAAAAGGAAAAAGTTTAAAGAGGCGCAAGAGTCAGCTAGGAAGGATGTGGAGCGAGCATTTGGTGTACTTAAGAGACGTTGGCAAGTACTAACGGTCGGGGCAAGGTCATATGAGGTGAAAAGG